CACTGCAGAGCCCTGATGGTCATTTTTACATGAAAAGAAATACTAGGATGGCGACTTTTTATGTCCAGTCCCTTTGAATGAGGCCTGGGAAGAAAGACAGAAAGCAGTGCAAAAACCTCTGGTGGAAAATAGATCTCAGGGGCGCCACGCCAGTGAAAAGAGTATGTTGTTATACGGGTGAAGAATTGGTATTGACTATTTTAAAATTCATTTCAAAGGTACTGCATCATTAAATCGCAAATGCTCAGACCAGGAAATTGGCTCGATTTATTCTCCTCTCACAGACGATGTTCTCAGAGGAAGCCATAAAGACGCCACAGTCAACATTTTTGTAAAAAAAATGCCAGGAATCGGGTCTGTCAAGTGACGTGAATATCAAAAAATTTCACATAACCACGTCTACAGCCAGGAAGGGCACTTAGATCTAATCTGCATTTTCTTGCTTAGAATGTTGAATCTTTGGTGGAAATAGGAAACATTTCACAGTTTCTTTACTATGCTTTTATTTCTATATATGTATTCTTCCCATGTACCCTGCAACGTTTTCATTCCCTGCCCTCCTTTGAGGAATCTTAACATAAACATACTCAGGTCATCTGGTCCTGGCTCTCATCTTCAGTAAACAGCTCTCAGCAGCAGTGGCAGGTGCCTGCAGCCTTTACTGGCACTCCTCGATGGCATCAGTGCATAGAAAAGCTGTTACATCTTCTTCCCCTGTCCTCGCACTCACCTTTTTTCTCAAACGCCATACCTGCCCCAACGCCTCTCCTCTGTCCCAGTTCACTCTGAGCCTCACTAAAACCCTTGCTCCAGTTAAACCCCTTGTGCCTCTCTATTCTTTTGTTCCCAATCCTTGCATCCCCAAACATCAGCTGTTCCTTCCCTTGATGGGGGTTTTCCTCTCCAATGCACCCTTTATCCGCTCCTGCTTCTCATGCCATATCCACCTCCTTTTCCAAAACTGATTAAAAGTGTCTGAGCTTCTCCCCCACTTAGATCCTAAGATATAAAAGACAAAATTCTACTAGTATAGTAGGAGGTAGAGTGTTTAATATATGTTTAGTATGTTGCTACCATATTAGGGAACAAAGAAAAGACAGAGGCTCCAATGGACTTAACTTAACAGCTCTTAGGACTCTTCAAACCACAGAGTTAACATTCATTTGAAAATGCTCTCCCTTTCCATCTTGTCCTTCTCTACATTGAGTGTATTTCTCCATTAATCTCTCTCTTATCTTTCATCGTGTTCCCTCCTACCTCCATGCTCCCATGGACTTTTAACCCCATCCCCTTTACCAGCCTCCTGGTCTTCTTCCTTTGTTCTGCCTATGCCTTAGGTTTGCTGGTGGTTCCCAAAGGCACAACTAGGAGATGGTCAAGGCCCTGAGAAACAGAGAGACAGATGACCATTCTCAAAATGAGAAGAGGAGGGAGGGGAGGGGGTTAGTTTTGTTTTGGTTTTGGTGTGTAGAACTCATGCAGCCTTCAGCATGCAGAAACATGGCTGATATTTTCATTGTTTCTAGAGTGCAGAAAATGTGAGCAAGAGAGTATATTCTCAATAATCAACAAAATAGAAACAGACTCATACAGAACAGACTGATGGCTGTCAGAGGGGAGGGGGGTTTAATGCTGAGTAAAAAAGGTAAAGGGATTAAGCAAAGCAAAACAAAAAACCTCATAGACACAAACAACAGCCTGGTGATTACCAGAGGGAAAGGGGGGTGGGGAGAGGTAGATAAGGATATTGGGGGGGGGGAGGTAAGTGGTAATGGAAGGAGACCTGGCTTGGGGAGGTGAGCACACAATACCATATACACATGATAGATTATAGAATTGTACACCTGAAATCTAAGTAGTTTTATTAACCAATGTAACCCCAATAAATTCTATTAAAAAGTAAAAAAAAAAAAATCTACTGAAACCCAGGGTATAGGATCCAGAACAATATCATTGGGATTTCAGAATATAGAACGCTATCATTTGACATAAATAAAGAAGTTTTGTGAGCAGATTGAAATAATCCCCTTTCAAAACAGCAGTAGAGACATGAGTAAGGATATCAGGCCTTTAAATTTCAGGAGGGTTATATCTTAGGGTGGGAGCAAGAATTGTTCACTGGAAACCACAAAGGCCCGTGGAGGGATGATCCCTACTGGGCACCATGGCTGGTGGTTAAGACTGTGGCATCTAGCGTGATCAAACCTAAATTTAAATCCAACCCCACCACACACATTTTTGGCAACTTTAAAGAAGTCATTTTTCAGGCCTCACTTTCTTTCCCTGAAAAGAACCACCCCAATATATTTTTTTAATGACAATTAAATGAGGTAATGATTGTCAAATTCTTAGCACTTTGCCTAGCAATTTAACCACTGGATTGCTTGCCCATCTGAGGGTAGTGACTTTATCTTACTCAATGGTATTCCTAGAAAATGGTCCTTACGTGGTATAAAGTGCTCAAGAAACTTCCAAATAAATGATACCACATGCCCAAGGGTCTATGGAGCTGCCCAAAATGATGGAAACTTCTGACCTGATCCCTCTATTGAACATATCCCTGTTCTTATTGTGCCCCCTTTCTTCTGCCTCCTCATTTATGTGCTGAACCATATTAACTGAATGTGTGAGCCACTGGCCCCAATCTAGATGACGTCAATGGATGTCACTGTTCTTGGTCATAGTCAAAGTTTTCTGCCTTATGATCCTGAAAGTTTAGTCTGTTGATTTTGGGAGGTTAAATAGGTTCTTGACTTTGTTTGGACAGCACAGGTAAAATCAACCACCTATGGTAATAAAATCTATAAGCAATTTGATGAGTTATTGGAATGATAATATAGGCTATCACTGCATAGCTACCCCCAAAAAGGGTACAAAGAAAACTACAGATATATTGTCAACCCAACCAACCACCATTTAAAAGACTTTTATGCTAGTTTACTTAGCTGGAATTTTACATAAGCCAATTTAGACACACCACTGCCTTGGGAATCAGGGCAATTATAACCCTAATGCCAAAAGACTCATTTTTAAATTATCAACATCATCATTGTAATTATTCAGCCAACAGAAAGGGACACTTTCAAAGTGGCAGAGACTTTTATCACCAGGATATTATTAAAGGGAACCCCCAAAGGATAAATTCACAGAACAATGAGCAACATGTTCTATTAAAAATGGCAATTTGTCAACAAATTGGTGCATAAACAATGTATGTTGTGCAAACCAATTTGTCGTTGTGGTTACCAAAATCCTTTTGCAAAAAATTTATGAAGGAATTGTTTTCCTGTAAAACTAAAGCAAAATAAAATACTTTTCCAGAAACATAACTTTGTGATTTCAGTAATACTACGTTCCTCTTTAACCATTTAAAATGTAGCATCCCAATGGAGCTGCACTGAAAGTCTAATATGCACACCAGATTTCTAAGACTTATAACGGGAAAAGATCTTACTAACAATTTTACTTTAATTATTTGTTGAAATGGCAATGTTTTGGATATGTTGGGTTAAATAAAGTTTAGTATTAAAATTATTTTTCCTATTTTTTCACTTATTTTTTAATGTACTTACTAAAAGAACTTTTCATTATATATGTGGCTTATATTACATTTTCATTGAATGACATCCATCTTGCAATCTAGAATATCTACTGACTCAAGAGTTCTACTAACTGTAATGGTGGTGAAGTTTATATTTGACTAACTTCCCATGGATGACATTTATATTTGACTAACTCCCATGGATAACATTTGTAAACATTGAGCAAAATGGGCTGTGAGGGACCCAAGTTGGCCCATGAAAGAAAGAAAACTGACCTGGATAAAATTCACATTCATTCAACTTTGCACCTGGGGATATTCTCTGATGAGGGAAGTGGATGGAGGGAATTTAAGCAGCAAGTCATAATCATAATGAATTGACAAGGCAGAGGCTGGAGGTTAGGGCTGCCAGAGCAGCTAAAAAGTGAAGGGACAATGTGGGAAAGGAGAAAGTCCCTAAATCTGCATAAGAATATCACTCAAATCCCTTGTGAGCAAGTGCTTGGGAAATACCATGATTCATAGTCCCTAACAATAGTTATAAAAGGGAAGGAACTGCGCAGAGATCTCAACTTGTACCCACTGCACGGGAGACAGTTTGGTGCTTAAGTGGACAGCCTGCTAGAACAAAAACACTCTAAAAGAAAATAGAATCTGAGTCTCACATTTTATTCAGAATATGCAGTATAACAGATTCAATTAGTAGACTCACAAAGAAAGGAAAATGGTTACACTAAGGCTGAAATGTTTTCGACATTGGGTTAGGAGATAAGGATTTAAAAGGGTGAAGGATAATATATTATATGATATAATATATCACCATTATATCGTAATGAATAAAGGGCAGAAAAACGCAAACCAAATTAATAATAAAATAAAAATTCTAAAATTGAAATGTAAAATATCTGAAATGAAAACTTCCTTAACAAGTCTTTAAAGGCAGATTGGAGACAAAGAAAGGATGGATCAATGAAATTGAAGCTAGATTATCTTCTAAGCATTATTATCTGAAGATGGATAGAATATCAATATAAATTATCCAATGTGGCATCCATATTGATAACATGCCTGCAAATATTTGTGAACATTCCTGAAACCTGCTGGAACTTCTGAAAGAAATGTGGCAAGCAGTAGCCCCACAACATAACACAGTACAAGCAGACCAAGGATTCTTTCCATGCCCCAGGACAGTGACATTATGACAGGAGGCAGAGTGGCTATGGTGGGTAGACTAAGCAGATTTTCTTTTAGTAACTCATTCAGAAAAAAAAAAAAAAAAAAAAAAAAAGCCTAAAAACTACAAAGAAGATTATGCTGAGACTTGGATGCATTGAGCCTAACTGAGGAACTAAGAGAATGCTGGCTATGAAGAGATACAAGCATTTTGAACTGGGAGGAGAGAGAAAGAGAAAGGGCCAAGGGATCCAGTTCTAAGCTTCATCTTTTGTTTTATGAAGGAGACAATAACATTTTTAGTTCACTTCTATATAAAATATAACAATATTGTATAAAATTTATATTGTATAAGCATATAATATATGTCCCAGAGTAAAGGTGGAGGGAAAGTAGCCAAATATCCCCCCAACTGGCGGGGGGGGGGGGGGGGGGGGGGAGGGAGTCGGAAATCCAAACTCACAGATTTAAGAAACTCAAGTCCCAATAATAACCATTACAAAGAAAACTATACCACTGCATATTATAGTCTAACTTCTGAAACCAGAGTTGAGTGGAACATCCCCAAAGCAGCCAGAGAAAAGATAAAATACATCCAGAGGAACATATAGTCCCTTGTTAATAAATTAGTGGCTGATACTTCATCAAAACAAATGAAGCTATAGGCAAGGGAAACAATGTTTACACTGTTGAAAGGAAAACTCTTTTACTAAGAAATCTACATCCAGTGAAAACAACCTTCAAAGTGAGGGAAAAATAAAGAGATTTTCAGATAAATAGAAACTGGAAGAACTTATTGCCAGCAGGTGTACACCTCAAAAAATACAAAAAGTGTGTTCAAACTTAAGGTAAAAGAAAGTAGACTCAAACCTGAGATTCCATTAACTAATGCACAGCGCCATAAATCATAAATATATGGGTAAATATTAAAAATCTATATACTGATCTTTTTATTTAAAAGATATTATGACTAAAAGGAAAAGTTTAATACTTTAAGACTACCTATTATGTTAGACCATAGGTGTGTATCATAATGCATGCCATAGGTGTAATATATATGTTAACATCCCCAAGGATGGCTGGTTAAATGGAACTACGTTGGAAGTTTCTAGTATTTTACATGGACTGATGAAATAGTAACTCTAAGACTGCAATAGGTTAAAAATGCATAGTGTAATCCCTAAGACAACCACCAAAAATATAAAGAAGCATAGCTTTAAAACTGACCACTAACAATATTTAATTAACATATAAAAAGTCAGGAAAGAAGGAAACCATAAGGAAATAAACAAATTAGTCAACCAATCAAAACAAATGGAAACAAACAGCAAAATGACAGACTTAAATCTACTGCGTCAATAATTACATTAAACAAAAATAGATTGACTACTCCAATTAAAATGAAAGATGATTGGATTGGATATATAAAGCAAAAACTAAATGCTATCTATAAATTATGGCATTTAAATTAAAGAGAAAGATCATCTAAAAGTAACAGAAGGAAAAATTATTTACCATGCAAATAGTAAAAATAAAGCTGGGTGACTATATTAATCCCAGACAAAATAGAATTTAAGATGTACTACAAGAAATAATGAAGAATCCTATATAATAAAAGCCTAATATGTCCAGTCGGCCATTCAACCAATCAAAGCATAATATGCTAATGATATGCTAAGGCCGCTCAACCGCTCGCTATGACGTGCACTGACCACCAGGAGGCAGATGCTCCAACTGGTAGGTTAGCTTGCTGCTGGGGTCCAGTCTATCAGGACTGAGTGAGATGGGCCGGACATGCCCTGGAACCCTCCTGTGGTCCCTCCCCAGCTGGCCAACCTCCCACATCCCTCCCAGCCCCAGTTGTGCACCAGTGGGGTCCCTTGACCTGGCCTGAGCCCTCTTGCAATCTGGGACCCCTTAGGGGATGTCGGAGAGCCAGTTTCAGCCCAACGGAAGAACGACAGGTCACTATGATGTTCACTGACCACCAGGGGGCAGACGCTCAATGCAAGAGCTGCCCCCTGGTGGTCAGTGTGCTGCCACAGGGGGAGCACTGCTCAGCCAGAAGCCAGGCTCACAGCTGGCGAATGCAGCAGCAGTGGCAGGATCTTCTCCTGCCTCTGCAGCAGCACTAAGGATATCCAACTGATGGCTTTGGATATCCAACTGAACCATTAGTAGGACATCCCTCGAGGGCTCCCAGACTGCAAGAGGGCACAGGCCGGGCTGAGGGACCTCCCCGAGTGCACAAATTTTGTGCACCAGACCTCTATTATTTCATAATAAAACTTAGTTTTTGAGGAAGACAATAATCATAAGTTTATGTGCCTATTATGAGACCTTTAAAAAACATCAAGAAAAATTGAAAGACCTAAAGGGAGAAATAGACAAATCCACAGTACTCATTAGCAACTTTAACATTCCTCTCTCTGTACTAATTACAAAGCAGCCAGACAACAATCAGCAAGAACATATGAGCATTATTAGTCACCTTGACCTATAAAACATTTCAGAGGAGGAGAAGAGTGAGGGGGACTGGATAAAAGAAGGTGAAGAGATTAGCCAACGAACATATGTATAGCCCATGGACACAGACAAGAGTGTGGTGAAGGCCAGAGGAGGGGAGCTGGGCTGGGTGGAGGTGGGCAAAGGTGGGGAAAATGAGGACATCAACAATTTAAAAAAAAACATTCCAAATAA